ATTACCATGAGATTTTCCCTCTCTGTATTCAATATCATAATTATACTGGTCTATCTTTCCAATCCAACATGTCAGTTGTCCCTCTGGGTTCTTTAATGATCTTAACCAGCGTGACGCAGCATGGTCTGTCCTAATGGTAAACCTTGCACCATAGAGGTAAGGATGGAAATATGTCAGACTCTTTACTATAGCAAGGAGTTCCCTCCGTGTTACACGGTAGTTCCTCTCTGGTCTACTCAAAATCGTACTAAAGTAGGCCACCACATATTCGTTTTCGCCCACTTTCTGAGACAACACTCCTACAATTCTGACATTACTAGCATCACAATCCAGTATGTACGGCAGTGAGGGATCTGGAAGCTTTAAAAGTGGAGTGGAGGCCAATTTTTCTTCAATGTCTTGAAAGAATGCTGGCAAGAAACTGTCCATTCAAACTTCTGGCCTTTTTTAGTCAAATCATGTAGTAGAGCAGCTATAGTTGCAAAGTCCTTCACAAACTTCCGGTAATAGGTACAGAGTCTCAAGAAACTTCTTAACTCTCCCACATTGTCTGGTGTTGGCCAATCATGCACTGCTTTCACCTTGTCAGGATCACTTTGCACACTATGCTCACTTACAATGTGACCTAAGTAAAGCACCCAGGATCAATTTGCACACCATTCTCACTTACAATGTGACCTAAGTAAAGCACCTCTTTCTGGAACAAGGTCTGTACAGCCGTGGTCATGATTTCCTTTTGGAAAGACGTCTGCATAATTCGCCAAAATTTCTCTAACCTGAAGATTCTGTGATGACGACAAATGGACTATGCTCTTCTTATAGAGGTCAGTTAAATGTTCTGGGAGAGGATGTCCTTTCTTTATGGTTGTATTTCTTGGCTTAACATTGACTGGCTCTACCTCCTGTCACACACACCCAACAATGCCCCTTCCTTTAGTGTTTGCTCACATTTAGAGAAATTAGCCACTGTTACGCTGTCGTAACAATATTGTTGTAACGTGTTTTATCGTTGGGCGGGTTCTTTTGGATTAAAAATAACGCAAAGTCCAGTCCACATAACGATAATGAATTTATTTACTTATTCAGTAACGTTTGCTACAAGTTATGTTCAAGGACAGGCTTAACTTCACAAATCACGTTTAGAAATTTCGAAACTAAAAATGCATCACTTGTAAATAAACCTACTTGCAGAATTCCCCACTAATTTACAGACAACAAATACGCCGATTAATTCACTGTTTAAATGCATCGCAAACGAACAGACACGATAACTCACTGGCACTTAACTGATTAACTTCCCGCAAGTATAGAAACCTGATATAGTAATGGTTTTGTTTGGTTACTTAAATACCACCACCTGAAGAGGCTAGGTAAACCTATCAAAACGTAGTGCTTTTTAAATTAAAATATATATAGGTTTTTTTTTTACTATGATTAATTTTTTATCCGTAAATAAAAGATTTCAAAATTTTTTCGTTAACTCAATAATGTACTGATTAACTAACTTACTCACTCTGAGAGTTTTATATGATTACTCGTTTTCTACTTACCACTCGAAGCCTCTAGATATTGCATCGTCATTACGTAAAGATAAATTTATTCTAGCAAACAAACATTTAAATCAAAATATGAAAAAATATAGCTTAATAACAACGGTTATCTTTTAGCCGAATTAATGCTAAGTTTGTTAAAAGTTCTCAAACAAGTATGAGTCTGGACTATCCAACGAGACACAACGGTGTGGAGTAAATTTTAAATTACGAATTGCTTCAGAATGATAAGAAAAAAGCTCTAGAAGGTAACTAAAATCAAAATATTCCACTCCCAATTGTTGCTTGTATCACTGCACCGAAATATGCTGTTGAATATAATGAAGAAAAACAGTCTGACATTAACCAAGCAATAAAAAAAGACACCGAAATTTTATATGATTTTTCAACATTTAAAATGAAACAATCTAATAGTCATTATAACCAAGTATTTAACATAACAGTAATGTTGGTGTATTGTTTCATATGCAGAGCGAGGTGGCTGGTGGGCTCAAGCACTTACCTTTTTTTTTGCTCCCAAAGTGCCCTTTTTTTGCTTAAAAAATTTTCAACAACTAAGACAAGTTATATCTGATTCTACATTTTGCTTGCTGTTAATTATTAGAGTGTGTGTTTGTCACAGTAAAGCCATTCTGGGGTATCTGCTGTGTCCACCGAGGGGAATCGAGCCCATGATTTTAGGATCGTAAATCTTAAGACTTACTACTATCCCACGGAGAGATTCGAGTTATTACAAAAGAAAACAAAAAAGACTTGCTTGCGATGCTTGAAAAATTGCCCTTTTTTTGTTAATGCGCCCCTGACCTTTTAATCCGGCATTAGCATTTTTTTATTTATTTTTCATGGAACGAAAAGGTATAAAATGAAGCCACCGTATTTAGTAATTGTAGTGTAAATGTAAAGAGAAGAAGAATGTTTACAGAGGGTGGAGAATGGCAGCGCTAAATAATTATTAAAGATGACGAAGCATATTTATAAAACCTATACGTTTGTTCATTCATGTGACTATGCTAATTTGTGAACAGAAAAATAAAATAATTTAGAATTAAAATAAATCATCCTCAATATAAAAATAATATTATTCGTTATTTTTGCAAAAAAACAAAAAGAAAAAAAACCGGAAAATATGCTAAACTTGATAATGAAATATTTAGATTTAATGTGTTTAATTAAAGAAGATTTTGTCATCTTACTTTTACACTACAGGACCTTATTACGTTGCGTATATGCTGATAGGATTACGTTTGTAAATGTAAAGTTAGCTATGACGTAACGAACAGAAATGAGCATCATTTATCATGATACACCAAGCGGGGAGGTGATATTTTAATAAAATTTGCAACAGTCAGAAAATTCAAAGGGAACATGAAGCCCTCTAAATGGAAATTTAAATTGAAAAAAAATATCCAATTGTTGGGCATATTTGTATATAATGTTGGGTATCTGCTCGTTTGTTAATTTCCGGTATAAATTCTTTCCGAGGAACTTCAGCGATACA